AGGGTGGGGGCGCCGGGCTCCCCCCTGCAGCGGAGGGAGGGAGTGGAGCCGTCCGGCGGGGTTTCGCGCGGGAGAAATGAGAGGGGCAGTCCCGGCGCAGCCTCCAGCTGGCACGCCCGGTGCGCGCGCCCGATCCTGGCAGGGCTTGTTCCAGGTCGTGCCCTGGGGCCCCGGCCCCTGCTGCAACCAATGTCTCTGATCCAGGAAAAGATTTTACGGCGGCTTCGGCCCTCGCTTAGTTTTGCTGTTGTAAAAGGGCAAGGTTCTGCCGCCTCCCAACACGTTTGCTGCAAGGTTCACTTTGCAAAACAGGCAACCTAGGCTTCTTTACCAAGTCTGGAGACCTGCAAACCCGCCAGAAACTTTAACCGGCCGTTGCACGCTACGCCTCCACTTCCACTAAACAGATAGGTTCTAGAGGTCGGGAATACTGATTAATTTGACAAATACTGATCGAGCGCCTACTGCTTGTTAGGCCTGGAAACACAAGAGTGAACAAAAACAGGCCCCTGCTCTGCTGGAGTTTACAGTCTGGGAGCCAGTTACCAATAGAGTGATGGAAATAAATGTAATAACGATACGAATAAGTGTCATAATAGCTATGTAATTTTATTTCTTTGATTTATAATTAACTTTATTATTAATAATTTGTTGTCACTAATGAATATAATAAGCGTAATACCAATGATGCAATTAAGTGTAAATTTGGAGCGATGATAGATGTTGAGAAAAAAGGTAAGTGGTATTAGGGTGGTGTAAAACAGGGAGACTTACTTTGGCAGAGGTCAGGGAAGTCTTCTTAGAAATCAAGTATGAAGAGTGAGGAATGAAGTGGGTGGAGATTGTGGAAGACAAGTCAAGATTGGGCAGGATGTTGGATAAAGTTGCCCTGAAGTCATAGCAGGTTTTCTGTACGGTGTTGAAAGCCTCTCTAAAACTGGTTGTGAAGTCAGAGAACAGCCTGTATGTGCAGGACTTCCCTGTCCTCTCCGCTGCTTGGGATCTGGTGTTCATCTTTTCTTTGTTGAAGGAGTGTATGAAATTGGCCAAACATTTTCTCAAGCTTGAAGAGAAAACATCTGGGAACAGTCTTCCTTCCTTCCTTCATTAGTTCAGCAAATGTGCTGTGCACTCAGTGTTTCAGACCCTCCGTGTTCTTGCTACCTAGGGATAGTAGTACCAAGAAAACATTGTGTGATTTGAGAAAATGTTTTATTTTTGTTGGATTATGTATATTATTCATTGTAGCCATTTTCATTGTTACCATGCTTTGGAGTTTTTCTTCACATACAGTATCTTCTCAAATCCTCCCAAATTCTTCCAGAGTCTTATTGTCCACACTTTTAAAGTAAGGAAACAGTTAGGAAGATACATTAAGAGATCCTTGCCACTCTGTCAGTAAGTGACAGCTGCAGACTGGCAAACTGGAAACCATTCCTCATGCCTCCAGATCTAATATTCTTTCCTTTTTTAAAAATTATTTTTTAGCCGAGCTCAGTGGCTCAGCCTGTAATCCCATGCTTTGGAAGGCTGAGGTGAGTGGATTGCCTGAGCCCGCGGGTTTGAAACATGCCTGGGCAACTTGGCGAGACCTCATTTCTACAATAAATCAAAAAATCAGCCGGGCATGGTAGCGCATGCCTGTAATTCCGGCTACTCAGAAGGCTGAGGTGGAAAGATCGCTGGAGCCCAGTGGGTCGAGGCTGCAGTGGCCAGGAGCGGCCACTGCACTCCAGTCTGGGCGACAGAGTGAGACTCTAACGCAAAAAAAAAATATTATTTTTTAATTTTTTAAAACTTTTTTCTGTTTGTCTTCCAGGAAGAGTGAAAATAGCTCTTCTTCCTTTTTTTTTCTTTTGGAGATAATTGCTTCCCCATGAACCACTGGTCTTGTTTACACTTCTTTTCACTGTAGGTTTCATCAAATCCCTTTTGGAAACAGAAGTATAAATTCGGAGCAGGCCAGAGTTTGCAAAGCACTTGAAGCAACCTAGCCTAGCTATAATATTACAGGGCCCAGAAACCTGTAAGCTGTTGAGCCTTTCTGCTTTAGAAATTTGCCATAATCAACCGTAAGTCTTCAGATGGCAACCTGGAAGTGTTCTTCCATTGCCCAGCAAAGCTGGGGCATGTTTTAATGGTATTTAGTAATTGGTTCTATAGTGGTGTATTTTCAGTCAGGCTTTGGTTTAATTCTGTTTAGGAACATCCCTAAGGAACCAGGGTATTGTAACATCACACTGTGGTGATCCTTTCTAATAATGGTTATTGCTGGGCATGGTGGCTCATGCCTGTAATCCCAGCACTTTGGGAGGCCGAGGTGAGAGGATTGCCTGAACCTACAAGTTTGAGTCTAATAATGGTTATTGATGGACTTGATGAGGTGTGAGCATTGGGTTTCATCCAGGCACTACAAGAACGAGTGTCCCTTCCCAGAAGTAATAGTGTACAAATTGAAATAGAGACAAAGAAGAGGATGTTTACAACTTCCTTCAAGAAGTCTCTGTCTATAAATCTACACTTGCTTGCTTGTTATGAGAGAATGAAAAACTTGGTCCATCATACCTTGAACAAAGTAAGAAATGTGTGATTAGAAGCTGAAGGAGTTAAGAATATGTCACTCCAAAATATACTGCACTAACATACTCCCAATTTTTAAAGACACCTAAAAAAAAAAAAAACCCAAACAGCAGGTGCAAGAAGATCACTTTGACCTTCAAGCTTTTCTTAAAAACAGGAGATAAAATTCCCGTGTGAACGGTGTCCTCCCTACACTGGAAGGAAAGCAGCCTTCTTATCAAAGACAGGAAACTGAAGCTGAGGGAAATCTGTACAAACCAACCTTGTAAAACTAACCCTTATCTTCATAGTCACTTCTCCACCAATTTACAACCCTAGCCTGAGCCCCTTGGCCTTATCACATGTTTACAGTGTACTATTCTTTGTTCAATTTTGCCTATAAATATTCAACTCCAACTGCATCTTGGGGTCTTCATTTTCCATACCACGTAAATCTTAATATTAAACAAGTTTGCATGCTTCGCCCGTTAGTCTGTTTCATGTCAGTTTAATTCTTGGGCCCAACCAGGACCCAAGAAGATGAAGGTAGAGTTTTGCCTCCCTACAAAGCCATTATTGAACCTGCTTTAAATGATGTGAGAGAGTTGTGGCTGGATGTCTATCTATCCTTATTCACAATTTTCGCTCTATAAAAGGAGTCCAAATCTCTCTAGTCTGAAGTAGTAGTTCTGCCCTCGTCACAGAGCTGAGCTGTGGGCAGACTCCTCATCCCTTCCTATATAGCAGAATCACAGCAGTTTAATGCTCTTGGACAACTCAGCAAAGAATCTAGCTAGCAGAGAGCTGGAAGTAATATTGAAATCAAGGGGTTAATTTGACCAGGTCTGCCTGTCCCGCTTGTTTTGGTCACTTGTCTATTATTATTATTACTTTCCTTTTCCCATGAAGGTGAAAAGCCACAAAGCTGAATGCTGAGACTTTGTCTTCATTGACTACTTTATAGGTAACATTCATAGGTCACCATGCTAACAGTTGCTTCCATTGTTTTTCAGAAACTTGGGTCAGCTCCCGTCCAGTTCAAGCTGGTCGAGATCAACTATTCTTTAAGTGGGTCTGTGAAAGTACTCCACAGGTGGCCTTTTGACATTGGAGGGCCAAAAACTTCACCTTGAGATCATGCTAACACCACCATTTTCTGTACATCCGTCCTATGAAGTGTCATGAACTCCAGCTTCTTATGCAGAATAAACCTGTTACTTCATTTCCCCCCACTGCCAATCACCTTTCCCCAGGCCATAAACCACCCCACTTCCCTAACCTATAAATATCCCTAAGCCTTATCTTCGGGGAGGCAGATTTAGAAGCTATTCTCCCACCTCCTAGCTCGGTGCCCTTGTGAATAAATCTTTTCTCTTTTGCAAAACCTATATCACAGTGATTGATTTACTGTGTGGGCAGACTTGGACCTGGCTGGTAATATCTGAATACTGCTTAGCATTATATCTGGTCATGAGTAAAGTGACCGTTAAACAAGATAACATCCCTGGTTGTTCTCTGTCTCTTGGTCTCCTGAAGCTTCCATCTCACTGTGATTAGATAAGACCTAGACTAGAAGAAGGAAACATCCCTAAATGTGAAACATTCAGAGATAAAATGGTCAAGTCATTGCAAACTACAATATCTAGAATTGAGCCTCTTGTAGCAAAATCACTATCCAACACTGACTGAGTGGCTTTCTGGAAAGTTTTTCTTTTTTTTTTTTTGAGTCGGAGTCTCACTCCATTGCCCAGACTGGAGTGCAGTGGCACACTCACGGCCACCCCAGGTCAACCTACTGGGCTCCAGCAATCCTTCCACCTTAGCCTTCCAAGTAGCCGGAACTACAGGTGCACGCTACCATGCCCAGCTAATTTTTGATTTATTGTAGAGATGAAGTCTCACCAAGTTGCCCAGGCTGGTCTCTAACTCACGTGCTCGGGTAATCCACTCACCTCAGCCTCCCAAAGTGCTGGGATTGCAGGCTGAGGCACTGAGCCTGGCTGAAAGTTTTCTTTTATTACAATCTGACATTCCATCTTCCTGACTTGGCATGTCAAAATAATGCTGCCAGTCTCACATTTTAAATACATTCTGATGAAAACCACTTGAATGGTTTTAGAGACAAAGATCTGGACAATCAATAATCGAATGCCTTCATATATCGGGTGCAGAAAAATATATATCAGGATGAAACTTTAATGCCTGTGATCTACCAAACAGTCAATTTTAGTAAACGTCGCACCAACAACAGCAGCTAACTTAAAGAGTACTCACCATGCTCCAAGCCGTGTGCTGAATTACCCTTCACATGCATTCCCTCCTTTAATCCTTCAGCAGTGAGAGTTCCACATCTCCT